CTCGATAAACACGCGACATGGAGAAGGAAGAGTCCATGCATGATCGTTGAATGCTGCCAGGTATCGGCAGGGACAAAGGTCTTGTTGCTTGGTGACCAGGGCGCATGGCGATTCAAGTTGCGACTCGATGCTGCGGCAGACGACGCTACGCTGCCAACAAGGCTCCCAGATGCGTCCTTTGCCGGCTCTGGGGTCATGCGAAGTGGTTCGGGCACCGTGTGTCCAACGTCTGTTTGGTTAGAGCCCTTTGAGTGATGCTGTCTCGTAGTATTCTTCGCGAGTGAACGAGTCAGAGAGACAGTTGGTCGTTCAGAGTTTTCGTGTGCATTTACATCGATTCAGGACGCGAAGGGTTTCGTATGCATCTACTGTGCAATGGCAAGGCTGTGCCTTGATAAAGGTGACGGATGTAACGTTGATGATAGGGGTGGGCGAAAACGCGTAAAACCTTATTGCCAGATTTGGCCAAATTCTTGACGTTCTCGGGATCCGCGGATGAGGAGACGAGACAAGACTTCTTCCTCTGATGTTGCGCATCTTCCTGAGCCCCCCACACCTCATGGAGCGACATGACGGTCACTTGCTGTAGACTCTTGTGTCAATGTGCCTCCGGAGGTATGTTCGCCTGACTTGGCGTTGTTGAAGGCATGATGGCATCGAGGGATGTGCATGCTGGGTTTCTCGAGGATCGTTAGCCGCTGTACAGTAAAAGTGGCACTGAAGTTGGCAATATTGCACCCATGACTCGAGCAATTTGGTTGGGAGACGACGCTGGAAAAGCGTGAAGAAAAGATTGTATTGCCGAGCTTAAGTGCGTCTTCGTTTTGAAAAAAATGCTTCCATGGAGTTGATATGTCATGGGATGGTATTTGGGAAGTGTAATCAGCCCAAGGTAGTAGGTAGGTAGGTAATAAGGTACGTCCCAACACATCGTGGTCCTCGGTGAGTGAAGTCGCGCTGTGCCGGCCGGTGAGCCCACCGAAGAAACCGCTAATGAACCCAGCGGGAAGTACCGCGCCCCGCCTGCAAATGCTTGCCCTCCGCCTCCCTTTGAGCATCTGCCGAACTTAGATCCTGCCACTTCCCCGCTGCCTAACAGCGCGCGTCGGCCCCAGGTACCTGGACCCTGCGCTGCGGGCATTCGCAACGACCCGAATCGCGACTCGCGACAAGTCGTCAGGGCTGACGACGCTCGCAATTGTTCAGGAGCGCCATCCTCCCATCCGCGATCGCAACGACTACGGCACCAGACTTTGTCACAACAAGCTGAGCAAGCTGTTGGAGGAGAATAGCCTGAAGATTGTTCGCCATGGGTTTAGGTGTGCTCGAGTCGAAGACTCTCGACCATGTTCCTGGTATGCTTGTGGCCTCTACTCCCACCTCCTCGCCGTCCAACCACGTCGAATGCCAAGGGACATGCTGTTTGATGATGGCACCGACTGACATCTGGTGATACAGGGACAACGCGATACTACAACGACCCTTCGCAGCCTCAGCCGGCCAACGGTGCCAATCGCGGGCTCAAGGTCGACGACAGCGGTCCAGTGCCCATCATCCTGGTACCTCCCCTAATCCCATGGACTTCGATCGCCCTGGCTGACGAGTGCGACAACAGATCCCCCAGCCCTCTGACGACCCGAACGATCCTCTGAATTGGCCTTTGTGGAAACGCGATCTCATCACCTTCGTCCTCTCTGTCACCGCCATCTTCGCGACCGCCCTCGGTCCCATTCTAGCTGCCAACACTGTCACGCTCGCCCTTATTTTTGGCACGACATTCACTCGCATCGCTGTCCTGACAGGATACTTCCTCCTCGGCGTTGGTGCTGCTGCCGTTTTCTTTGTTCCGTCCGGTCGTATTTGGGGCAAGCGTCATCTCTTCATCTTTGGGGCCGTCGTCCTGGTAGCCTCGTCTGCCTGGGGCGGCGCCGTCGGGACCAACTACGAATCCTTCATCGGCGCCCGTGTGGTTCAGGGCATCGCATGCTCACCCTATGAGACCCTTGTCAACGTTGCTGTTGGCGACCTGTACCCCGTCCACCAGCGTGGCCTTCGCATGGCCTTCACGAACCTGGCAGTCTTCGGCGGTGCCTTCTTCACACCGATTCTGGTCGGCAAGATCACCCACAGCATCGGATGGGAGTGGTCATTCTATCTGACCGCAATCTTCTGCGCCATGTCGCTCGTGGCCGTTTATCTCCTGTGTCCCGAGACCGCCTATCGCCGTGACATGTCCCTTAACACGGACATGATTGCTGAGGACGATAAGACTCATCTCGAAAAGCTGTCACCAGGCCTGGATGCTGACCCCAGCATCACCAGCGAGGGTGGCGCAGATGGAAAGCTGCCAGATTCTGCGCAAGCCTCTCCTGCGCCCGCAAAATCACATGATGCGAGTTACCGTGGCGCCGACACGCCCAAGAAAACATACCTTGAATCTCTGGCCCTCTTCGACGGCAGGAAGACGGACGATTCGTACCTCGACCTGCTTTTGCGACCTTTTGCTCTGTTCGCCCACCCGGCCTTCATCTGGGGATGCCTAATTCAAGGCACCATGATCGGCTGGACAGTCTTCATCGGTGTCATCGTCGCCGCTGTCTTCCTCGGACCCCCTTTCTTCTGGAACGAGGTCAGCGCGGGATACGCCTACCTTGGTCCCTTCATCGGGGCCCTGGCAGGTTTTGCTATTGCTGGTGTTCTCTCCGACTGGAGCGCCAAGTACATGACGCGCCTGAACAAGGGCGTCTACGAGCCTGAGTTCCGCATCGTTCTCGTATTGCCCATGTTCATCATCGGCGGCATCGGGCTGTACGGATTCGCCCTGACGGCTGGCGAGATCCTGGGTGGCAAGTACCACTACTCCGTCCCGCTCATCTTCTTCGGCTTCGAGGTCGCCGGCATGGTCATCGGGGCCGTGGCGAGTTCTCTCTACATTGTCGACGCGTATCGCGATCTCGCTATTGAGGGCTTTACCTCGATGATTATCTTCAAGAATTTCTTCAGCTTTGCCCTCACGTGGACAGCGTACGACTGGATCATCCAAGGCGGCGTCCGCACAACGATGCTGTCTATTGCCAGCGTCCAGGTCGTCATCTGTGCCTTGAGCATACCAATGTGTAAGCCAACTTTGATCCCTGTCCTGTTATTCCGAGAGTTTGGTGCTAACGAGGGAACAGACATCTATGGCAAGCGAGTGAGAGCCTACTATCACAAGCACGACATCCTCTACTTGACAAAGAAGCTCGCGGGACGCTAAGCTGGCAGACATAGTCAGGCCGAGGCTGGCATTGCTCGCAGCACTAATCGAGTGAACTCTTTAGACATCTCTTATGTTGATCAGTTTATGTTTTTTTTTTTTACGAACAGGGGAGCTGTGTAGCTTCTCCTCTGCAGAGCATGCTCTGGCTAGCGGCTTGCTCTTATAATAGATGCTTGCTCAGCCTTGATTTGGCACGGCGCCTGTTGTGATAAATATACTTCAAGATCAACCGGAACCTCCGACAGCGTCGCCAAAGTCCTGACAGTCGTGTTCAAAGGCTCATGCCTTGGGAGTGAAGCATGACAACCCCTGAGAAAGAAGTCCCGTCGGTTCCACAATGTTTGAAAGCACGTCGTCCAGCTGCACCGGGGTGCATGACCAAACACCTTACAATGCAAGGGGGCACTGGTATTTTGCCGATGTTCTCGAACAGGCCGAAGCCCTTGGCTAGAACGATTGAAAGGGACAACATGCCATTGTGTACACGTCTACCTCAACCATAGTCTTGACTGTGAGAGAAGTCCCAATTGCCACGTCTTGTCACGTGCCAGCTGTACACCAGACTGTTGGTGATCAACATGATCCCCCCCTTGGCGTGGCGAATTCTCATCGACGATCTGGGCGCTCATAAGCCCGGGACTGATCGATAATGGTGCCTGTCTCCTCCCTTGAATGATAGTCCTATGGGTGATATGGAAATCGAGATGTCGGAACGGCCCGCCACTCCTCATTCTCCCGCCCTTGGGGACGACGAGCGGCACAGCGCCTCGCCACGATGGGCGCGGTCTAGGCAATCATTTCTTGCGCGGGCCAGACTCATCCACGGTGGCCAGCTGGGTGTTTTCCTCCGTCAGCTCGCAGCACTACTGTAGGATGAAGCCCCTTAACCCTCCCAGACTGAATCCGCTAATGCGAGGCATGGACGACACCCGGGGCGGGAGGCCCCCAGCAAATTTCACCATCTGTCCACCGCTACATGCACCCAGGGACCTGGTAGAATTTGAAATGAGGCCAAACGGGCAATGTGACCTTTCAGATCCCCAAGTCGGCCAGTGGCAACGCGCATGTCGTCCCGAGGTCTAGGCCAGAGGACACGGAGGTAGGCCCGGCAGCCGAAGCCAAAAAAAAAAAAGTCAGATGGATGTGTGCCCTCATGGTCCATGAGTCTGCTCAAGCCCGCATCCCCATCTCAATGGGGTTGCTTCTGGACCCGAGGGCCCGGATCCGAAACCTGGAGGCTTGCCATGTCAGAGGTGTGGGGGATGGTTCGCAGGCATCCCGACGCCGAAGCGCCGGATCCCGCAGTCGATTTTGCGTTACATGGTGCGAGGTCTGTGGCCATGTGGCTGGCTTGCCGGCATTAGATTGATGTTTGGACGAGAAGCAGCCGGGTTGGCATAGGCCTGCCGTGCTTTTATTTGGTACGAAGTAGCCAGCGTTCACGGCAGTGGGAGGAGTGGGTGGTGCGCCAGGATGTCGACCATTTTGACGCCATGTTTAGATAGACGATGTCCAGGTCCCATAGATACGATTCAGTGAGCTACTCGAATGAATAGCTCTATCCTCGCCTTGAGCAAGGTGTGAGGTTGGCATCCGTACCTACCTAGGTACCTTCCAAGGTAACGTGCCATGCTCTTGAATGGGTGAGTCAGATTGTCTCCTCGTCGCTCCTGCCGTCGCCGCGCCCGCGTCGCCGGCTGCCACTTCAGGCAGAGCAGGCACCTCTTGAGCAACAAGGAAGGCGTCACTGGAGTAGTGGTTAACTCGTTGCCCTCCCACAGTAGAGAGGCAGAAAGTGAGTCTTGCATCCCAAAATGTTGAATGATTCACCGCTGACCAAAATGAACAGCACTGGTTCGAACCCGTGTGACGCACACACACACCCCTTTTTGGTCATGTCGGCACCACAGTGTCTCCTGTCTTGAGACATCTGGCGGCGCTGGTGACC